CCCCCCCCCCTTACCCCATCTTCCCTTCCTTCCCATCAACCCCCCCTGAAACTAAATAAACATATCTTCAACTAATTCCACTTAGATCTATGAACACTGTACATACTTAGAACATGAAACTCTGTACAGTTAAATTAAGTCAAGAAATGAGCAAAGGAACTGAGTACTTGCCACAAAATTTTATTTTCTAATCCCTATCTTTGTAACCCAATGTCCAAGATATTTGATATTTCAAACTATGAATTATGCATGAAATAGTCTAGCTTGAAAAATAATAGGTTTACACCAACAGGTTGCAAACATACAGGGAGTAGACACTTTAGTTTGTGGCAAGAACTCAATTCCTTTATAGATAATCTTGTTTTTACATAATGGCTCTCTGATTAATGAATTCTTTCGTCACGTCCTTTTACTTTTAGAAAATTTGTTGTAAACATTAAACAGTTTACATTCAACATTAAACACTGTATATATTTCCAATTTTGAATAAAAATATTTATACTTTATTATTATTTCAGTGTATCCTCCTACCTGATGGGTAGTGGGGATAAACTAGAGATACAGACAGATATCAGTAACCGTGGAGAGGACGCTTTTAATGCTCTCCTAGAGGTTCAAATACCACGCGGAGTAAGTTACGTGAACGCAAACACAGGAGAGACGGGTGTTAGTATCCTGTGTTCTCCTCCCTCAGTGAGGAATAACAACACCCTGCAGTGCGAGGTTGGAAACCCACTCAGAGCTGGAGCTCAGGTAACACAAGAACCCGGATACAGAACCCGTCCCGCAGTCTGGGACGAATTTCATTCTAATTTTATGACAGATTTAACAAAGAATTTGATTTAGGTTACTACTTCTATCATTCTTCAACCTTCTACCGAAGGTTTTGATGAACCTGTCTCGGAGTTTTCATTTCATATTCTGGCAAGATCAAGTAACCCGGAGAAGGGAGATGATGATCGTGATAATATGGCAACCTTCAGTGTTCCCATCAGAGTAGAGACAGATTTCCGAGTGACCGGACTATCCACCCCGCCTCAGGTTGAGTACAATATCTCTGTTCCTCTCCCGGATAAATACGAGTTCGAGGAGGATATTGGAGAGGTCGTTACTCACGTGTACGATGTCAAGAACAAGGGACCGTCCTCAATCAGCGAGGCTGAGGTGTATATTCTGTGGCCGAGCTTTAATGACTACGGAGATCATCTGTTGTACCTGCTGGGGTTCGACTACGACAATACAAGAGCTAAATGTGAGTCCGTCAAGAATCTGAATCCTTTAAGTCTGAAGGTGAGAGGTTTAGGATCTTGTTAAGACATTTTATTGCCGGTGACAGACAGTAGATTTGCATAGATTTATTTAGTAAAATTTTTTTATACTTTCAGACAATTGGAAGCCAGGGATACTACTCCTCTGCCCAGGCTGGGGGAGGGGCAGGGGTTGGGGGGTTGGAGGAGGGGATGGTAAGACATACTGCTGATGGAAACCGATATTTGCATTAAAACTGTGTTATTGATATTATAAGCTATATAAATAAAAGGATTTCTACTGCCATGGTTAAAACATTGTTCTCTGCCGGCGCCTAGTGTTCGATCATGAATGAGCAAGATATAAACCGTCTTACTGCGGAGTTTTCAAACCTTCTTGCATCAAATAAAATAATTTATGCATGAAAAGAAGGAAGGGAATGGAGATGGGGGGACATAAAAAAACAAGACGTTGTATTAGTTACATTACAATGCTTAGTTATGGTTTAATGTTAGTTTTATTGTTTGTCCCATGGTGAGAAGACCAGGGTTACTGAGACATAAATACATCCTTGAGCAAGCAAACACAAAACACGGAGTTAAACACTTAAACTCTGTGTTTCAACACCGGTATTATTCACGGATTAAATCATTGAATTTCAGCTAATCCTGGCCTTCCCAGTTCCCAGTTTCCTTCTCACTTTAAATAATATGGGAATGTGAGTTTGAGAGGATTTGTATGAGAGTTCTAATCTTTTAATCTTACGCCAGGTTGCTTATCCATGTGTGTGTCTAAGTGCAGTTCGCGATATCATAAAGAATGCTGGATCTCTCACGGTTTAATGCAATGTTCAATGTTCAGGTTATCTTTGCCCGTGATCTCAACTCAAACCTCAGAACTTTTGGTTGGTCTCTCTCCGGCGGGATGGACCTGGATCAGAATAAATATCCTGATCTTCTGATCGGAGCTTATGAATCCGGACACACGGTGCATATGCGTGCAGCTCCAGTCGTGCATATAACTGCAGAAATCAGCTTTGATAGAACCAGCAAACAGATTAATCTGGATGACACAGCCTGTACTCTCAAGGATCGAAGAACAAGAGTGCCCTGTGTTCCTGTCTCCATATCCCTTCGCTATACTGGAGTAGGTGTACCAAACAAGCTGGAGTTTAACCTGGAGTACGTCCTGGACGCTAAAAAGGAAAAACAGAAGAGAATGCATTTTATTGACGACGAGGGAGAAAGTGTTCGAACCACGAAGATCGAAATGTTAAAAGAGCGCGCATTCAAGGATAAATTCAAGGTTTATCTTCTGGGTCCAAACATAAAGGATAAGTTGACCAGCCTGGATATCCAGGTCAGATACTCCCTGGGTTCATCAGCAGGAATCGGAGTAGAACTAACTCCCGTCCTAGGACATGGAGATCATGTTGCGTCCGACAGTATTAATATACAGAAGGAGTGTGGTTCAGACAATATCTGTATCCCTGATTTATCCATCAAAACCAGAGAGTAAGTCTAGTTTAAAGTAATTTCAAATAACCCTTAATATAAAGGAATGCCCGATTCACAAAGGAAGTAATGTGGATATCTTGCTTGAAATATGTTGTATTCTAGCAATATCCTTCATTGTTTCTACAGAATAAATCTGCAATTCATTTTTGTGGAAAAACCACAATCAAAATATACGATGAAAGAGAAAATCTTATTATAACGTCTTAAACTCATTCTTAACAAGACAAAGTATTTCAAGGTATCATTGTGAATTGGAAATACCACTTAAAATTACGTCTGTTATAGGAGCTTTATAAGAATATGTGAAATATAAGAGATTATTTTTATTCTCTCTACCAAGATTTATTTATTCGAAGTTCCTTGGATTAATGAATGAATGGTCATACAAATAAGGTTTCCCTTTTCNTTAAGACATTTTATTGCCGGTGACAGACAGTAGATTTGCATAGATTTATTTAGTAAAATTTTTTTATACTTTCAGACAATTGGAAGCCAGGGATACTACTCCTCTGCCCAGGCTGGGGGAGGGGCAGGGGGTGGAGGGGGCGCAGGAGGAGTAGGAGCAGGTGAAGGGGGAGCAGGGGGAAGGGGATATTACAGAGAAACATCTTCATCACAGTCCCAGTCTACGTATGTCCAAGAATCAAGTGGAACGAGAACTGCTGGGTTCAGGAATGAGGATGAGGATGAGGAGGATGAATATCTACCGGGACCTGCATCTAGCAATCGATATGAATCTTCTTATACCAGAACCATGTCACAAGGAGGACAGGAAAACTCTTTTGGAGTGCGACCTCCAGTAGTTGCAGATGGAGCAGAGGAAACTAGACTCTTTGATACTCAGGGTAGACCTCTAGAGAATACCAAGAGTTTAGATAGTTCTCAACAATCTATTTCATCTTCCAGTTCTACTAATGATAGATCCAATATTGTCAGCACTGAAAACAAGGACGAAAGTTCTGCTCAGGGGAACAATTTTGTTTACTCCGGGTGGAGAATGCTTCCTAATGGAACCTATATCCGAGTATATGATAACAAGAAGAATACTGAGAAGACTAGGTACTCTGGAGCCTCCAGTGTGTCTCGGCAATCAGGTGTAGGATCAAGTTCTCAGGAAGTAAGACTCACTGGTAATGGTGGAAGCTCTGAGGAGGAATCTACAGGAAGAATTAACTATGGTTCAAACTCTGCTGCCTCTGGCTCCGGTCAATACGATTCCTCAAACTCCAATAGAGGTGGCTTGGATATGGAAAATTCAGGTTGGATAAAGTTACCAGATGGTACCTGGAGCAGACAATCATCTTCACAAATCTCTCAGACAATTTCAAGAGAAAGTTCTTATTCCGGAGGTAGCTCTGGTGGTTCCTACTCAGGAGGTAGCTCAATTGGTTCCCAGTCAGGGGGAAACTCTGGAGGTTCCTACTCCGGGGGTAGCTCTGGAGGATATATATCCGGGGGTAGCTCTGGAGGTTCCTACTCTGGGGGAAACGCTAGAGGTTCCTACTCAGGAGCTGTCTCCGAATCCTCTGGTGCATCAAGTGGTCGAGGTGGAGGAGGAGGTAGGGGAGCAGAATCAATCAATCTTGGAGAATCCGAAACCTTAAATACAATTTTCAATGCTGCCAAGGGACCTGGAGATTATCATGGTACCATGAGTAAGACTGAGCTGGAGAGAGAAGCTGGAGGAGCAGTTTTCAACCGAGGAGTTGGAACTGAAACTAGACAACAAGTTGAGAACACAGAATACCGAGGTTCAGGATATGTTTCCGGTGCTGACAGTGAGGTCAGAGGTGCAGGATATAATTCTAGGACTGGTATTGATACAAGGACTCAGTATAGAGGTTCCGGTTCGTCCTCATATGAAGATGAGACAGAGAATGCCGGATCTTCCTACACCGGAGAAGGAGAAGATTATGTAACTACAGTCCGAGGCAGGTGGGTTTGGTCTGAAGAAGAGAAGAAATGGAAATGGGAAGATAAAGGTGGAATTCAACAACAAAACTTTGATCAGTCTTATTCAGACTCCGGGTCAAATGATTCCGGTTGGACAATTCTCCCGAATGGAACTTATGTCCGGAAAATGTCAACCTGGTCTAGTCAATCCAGTGGGTACAATAGTAATTCAGGACAGGGATATTCCGGAGCAGGACAAGGATATTCCGGAGCAGGACAGCGATCAAACCAGGGATATTTTGAAGCTGGATCAATCGGCGCATCCAATTCCGAGGAATCTCTTGGAGGTGACTCAGGTAGCTCTGACTCAGGTTGGGTTCTCCTGGCTAACGGAACCTATGTGAGAAAACAGAACAAATGGTCTTCCTCATCAGACAGTTCTTTCCGAGCTGGAGTTGGATCAGGGATGGTTGTACCTCAGGATCAGTTCGGAGATGAGGGCGGAAACACAACCGGTTGGATCAGGCAGGCAGACGGAACTATGGTGAAAAAGTCAAGCTCCTGGGCATCATGGTCCTCTTCCAGCTCAGGAGAGCTAGAGGATGATCATCTTCAATCTATCCAGAGACAATTAGAGCAGAGAGCGAAATCTAAACTAAATAAACTCCCGGGAAATGTTGAACCTGGGTTTGAATCCCAGTACAATCTAAGATCTCATAGAAGTTCTAATTCCAGGTAATTATTTGTTCTTTTATTTTAAACTACTTTATAATTAATCAAATCTGACGGAAATTTATTCTGGATTCATCATACCTAGAGTTGCAATTTAAAACTAGGTTACAGCTATATTTACACTTTTCTCTCACACTATAAATTAATCGCCAACAAATTTATCATCATCAGGATTTTTACTGTTTGAAAATCAGCTTAATGAACATTTAAATTATCTTGACTAGTTTTCATCTAATTGAATTTTAATAGTATTTTACAACAAACTAACTTTTTCTAGTAGCGCATGAAGTTAAAGAAAACTCGGCTATAAATTATGATATTTACATTCATAATTTAATTATTGTATATCCTATACTCCTTTTCTGTTTTCAGAACCACTCCCTTTAAAGTATTTAGGAACTGAGTTTTTGCCACAAAATGAAATTTTCTAATCCTTTTATCTTTGCAAACGGATGGTGCAAACCTTTGATATTTCAAACTTAGACTTTTGAACTAACAGAATTCATAGTTAGAAGTATTAAAGGTCTACGACATCCGGTTCCAAAGATATAGGGATTGAATTATAGTTTGTGGCATTGATATTATTTTTCCTAGACCTAAACGATCCCTAGCTGAGTTCCAGTCTGAGCTCAGTGGATGTGATCCTAGAAAATGTACAATTATCAAGTGTACAATCGGACCCCTGGAGAAGGATGAAGGAGTTATTTTCAAAGTTAGATCTAGATTGTTTACAGAGACTCAGATAAAGGTCAGACATCTTTATTTTAGAAATCTGATAATCGTAAACTTTTGATGTTTATCAGATCAAAGTTTTCTGGCTGCATCGGTAGGATTGATTATTTTTAAACTGTTTTCAGTAGTAATGAAAATGATAATTCATAATCCAAAACTGTAAATTTAAATCCAGAAAAACAATACAGTTGAAAATATTCTTTTTTTGTTTAGAATTATGCTGAGAAGGTTCAGATATCGTCTAAATTATTAACAAGAGTAACTAAACTACCTTTCTACGTACAGGAGGAAATGCTGGCTTTTCAGGTTGATAGTTCATCTTTATTTTTTAAAAATTCGAAAAATTAATTTTTTTCAATGTTCACCGTTAAAAATATAATATTTTATCCTGAACATTGTTAGAAAACAAGTTGACAATTCTATTAGTTCATGTTTATCTTATAAAAAGATTAATGATTATAAACACATGACGGCAGGGTAGTTCATCACTAAAAAACTCGTCAAGGATTAACAAATGATCCAATTGCAGAGTCAAACCGTAACCACCACTGTGATACCAAGTGAGCCTGGAGAAGTAGAAACCCCGTGGTGGGTTTGGTTGTTGGCAGCTCTTGCAGGAATACTTCTTCTAGCTCTCATCACATACTGCCTATACAAGGTTAATATAAACTAATTACTATACACTAGGTACCCTAGGATACATTTTTAATATTTCATCTTCAACATCTCACCTAGCTTATACAACCTCGCTTGTACTCACCTTTTAAATAAAAATAAATCTATTCTTACCTCTAAAACTAACCCCGAACTGGAAACCTTTTTCATGGGACTATTTCTTCCATTTCTTGATTAAAGTTTTATTCTTTAAAATAGCTTTTTTGTTCTTTCTTTTCCGACCCTAGATTTTTTTTTAATTTCGAATTTCCCAACCAAACAGCTGATTTTTTCTATCCTCATCCAAGACACCATTCACCCAATTTAGCCTTCATATTTTTTTTTCTGTTTCCAAACCTTCCCGTCTCCCAACTAAACCGTCCTTCCTAAAATGTCCTATAATTCCAACTAAACCCTCCTTCCCAAAATATCATAAACTCCCAACTAAATCATCCTTCCCAAAATTTCCTATACTCCCAACTAAACCGTCCTTCCCAAAATGTCTTCCTATTCCAAAACCTTTTTATCTAACTTGTTTGCGATGTAATGCAATGATGTTGAGTCTCCATATTTTACTGAGAAATGTGTTTCATAACATCCTTGTTTTTTAGGTCTTCTCTCTCTAGTTTAACATAAACAAGACTATTTTAACTGAAATATAAACACATTTTAACACATCAGCTTCAGAATATTTACATGTTTATATATATATATATACAATACATAATATATATACATATAATAAACGCTTATATTACATAAATATATATTTATATATATATTTTAGTGTGGGTTCTTTAAAAGAAGAAGACCTGATGATAGCCCAGAAGCTGAACCTTTAAACGGCAGGAATGGGTAAGAATCTATAATTATATACTTATTTACTAAAGTATCGTGAATTTATCTTTACAGCGTTTAAAAGGCAAAATGCGTCCATAATTCTGGTGTTAAGCTTGGCTTTTGTTGCTGTCTTTCTGCTGCTAGCCTTTCGTACAATTTCAAACAAAAACAAAAATGAATTATTGCTGGAATTTAAAATTTTGCAAAACATTATTTGAGACAATTTTTTAATTCTTTTCGGTCATAAACCTTATGTGGGCCTGATCTGTTCGGCTCGGCCGTTTTTATTTAACCAATCAGACAAGACAAGTATGTTGCAAATAAATAGTTTGCCCTCCCCCCAGCTATATTTACACTTTTCTCTCACACTATAAATTAATCGCCAACAAATTTATCATCATCAGGATTTTTACTGTTTGAAAATCAGCTTAATGAACATTTAAATTATCTTGACTAGTTTTCATCTAATTGAATTTTAATAGTATTTTACAACAAACTAACTTTTTCTAGTAGCGCATGAAGTTAAAGAAAACTCGGCTATAAATTATGATATTTACATTCATAATTTAATTATTGTATATCCTATACTCCTTTTCTGTTNCTCTTAAAACTTCTTCTCCTATCAAGAGAATCTTCAGAACTCTCTCCTCATACCAAGAGGAACTCTATATCCCTCTCCTTATACCATAAAGAACTCTATATCCTTCTCCATCTACAAAGAGGAACTCTATACCCTGGCCGAGTGATTACGTATATACATTGAGCTTAGTGGATCAAAGTCATGTTAAAAAAGAACGAAGAAGTTAAAGTGATAAAACATAATGTACATTAACTAACTGCAGCATAAAGAGTGTGATTGTGTACGAGTGAGATTTGAAGTTCGGGCATTGAGTTTTTGTATAACCCTGAACAAATGGATTTTAATATTGTTAAAGTCTACACTAAAAGTAGAAATGTTTAAACTAATTCCTTAAAACCTTAATATCAATAGATCTCAACTCTAATTAAACCTTCAAGGCTTGATAATTCATCACAAGTGCTCTCTATGATATTGATGCAGCCCCCCCCCCTCCCCAACCCTTTTTCATACTCATTTCATTATTTAATTTCTGTATTGTATAGGATCTAATTCTAAATATGTAAATAATATTATATAATTAAATTTTAATCAAAACTTAACAAAGAAGCATAAGTATTGTTGCCGCATAATATTTTATTGATCCATCTCGTCTTGTTCTAAGAATAATCACAGACTCTCTACAGCCTCGTAGTCCTAAGATAAGGTTATCTTTATGAGTACTTTTATCAATCCTATGTTCTGTATTCTCTTTTAGTTAGATTTCTAATTAATTCCTAAACCTCATAAAGAAAACTTTTAAGATGTGATTCTCTATATTCTATGATAATTCTTACTAAGACGAATATTTGTTTGTTTTAATCTTGGATCACATTGACATCTCCGCGAAAGGTTTATTTTCTAACCTTCCACCCGTCCCCCATTCTCTCTCCTCCTCTATTCCATGTATGATATGCTCTTGCTTTCTCCAATAGCAGAATACAGTTACAGGTTTAGAATCAGGACTAATGTTCTCATTGTATCTAGAGATCCTTTGACATAGAATCAGGACTAATGTTCTCATTGTATCTAGAGATCCTTTGTCATAGAATCAGGACTTATGTTCTCGTTGTATCTAAAGATCCTTTGACACAGAATCAGGACTTATGTTCTCGTTGTATCTAGAGATCCTTTGACATAGAATCAGGACTTATGTTCTCATTGTATCTAAAGATCCTTTGACACAGAATCAGGACTTATGTTCTCATTGTATTTAGAGATCCTTTGACATAGAATCAGGACTTATGTTCTCATTGTATCTAGAGATCCTTTGTCATAGAATCAGGACTCATGCTTTTATGGTATATAGAGATAATTTAGTCCAGATTTAGAATCAGGACTCATGCTATCATGAAGACTAGAGATACTTTAGTCCAGGTTTAGAACCAGAACTCTTACTCTCATGGTGAGTAGAGATATTTCAGTCCAGGTTTAGAATCAGGACTCTTGCTCTCATGGTATCTAGAACACTTTTTATTTTCTCTCCGAGTTCTCTTAAAATCTGTACTTAGCCTCTAGTTCAGGATTGGCCACTCCCGGAGATTTCAATGGTTAAGTTTAAGACTGTGGCTGTGAGACTTGAAGACTGTGATGTCAGATTATCAAGCGATGAATAAATATCTAACAAACAACTGTTCTTTATTTTCTATAAACGTTTAAAAAGTTTTTTGATGGTCATATAAAAAATATTTTAATGTTTGCAACCTGATAGCGTAGAGACCTTAGAAATTTCAAACTTTAAATTCTAATAGATCAAATATTCAAAATTTAACAATTTTAAATTTGTACTCCTTTAAAGAAATAAGAGAAAGAAAATTTTAGTTTGTGATGAGAAATCAAATCTTTTAATGATAAAAGTATTTTGAATGTTTATTTCACACATTTTACGATGAAGCTAATTGTTTGAGATGCTAAAAATAAATTCATTATAATTAATTGTAATTAAGAATCTAATCATGTATGTATAAATAGGTTATATCGCGATAATTAAAAGGCCATGGCACAGTTTCCGTGCCCGTAAATGTTGTTTTTTGGATATTTTCAACAAAATCTTTGAACTAAATATCACCTTTTTCTACAATTTTCTGGGGACACAAAATTCATAAAAAAAATGCTAACTACACTGCAAAAAAGAACTCTATTGCAATCATCGGGAAAATCATATATATATAATAAAACAAGACATTCGTATATATATATATATATATATATGTTGCCTATTGCCGGCCAAACGGCTGGACCAAATGGGCTGAGATTTTTTGTGGGTGTAATAGGCTAAAAAATTCGAAAATTTTTCCAAATTTTTTTCATTTTTAAAAAAACTCCCACGGGCAACGCCGGACCCTTCAGCTAGTATCTATTATGCATGGAGCCATGGCGTTTTATTGACAGTGTATGCAGTTCATTCCTTTTATTCAGTGTTATTAGCACTACATGTAATGTACGCAGTTCATTCCTTTTATTCAGTGTTATTAGCTCTACATGTAATGTACGACCATTTTTGTTCTTATTTCTCTCTCTGCTCACTTGAGTCGCAACTCATTATTCATAAAAACTCTTTAATAAATTCAAACACACACTCATATTGTATTCTATACATAAACCTTGCAAAGTAATATTTGAAAATATGTAGAATTCATTTAGGATAATAACATTGGGATACAAGATAAAGAACAGGGTTTAGAAAAACTAGAAGAGACATGGTTCAGAGAAAACAAGATTTTGGTGGAATAAAAAGGAGACAGGGTTCAGGAAAACAAGGAGATAAGACAAAGTTCGAGAAAGCTAGGAGAGGGGACTGGGTTCTGGAGAACTTGGAGAGGAAACAGGGAGACAGGGTTCGGGTAAGCTAAGAGAGGAGACAGGGTTCAAGAGAACTTGGAGAGGAAACATGGTTAATGAGAAGACAGAGTTCAGGAGAACTAGGAGAGGAACAGGGTTCAGGAGAACTATGTGGAGAGGAAACAGGGTTCAAGAGAACTAGGAGAGGAACAGGGTTCAGGAGAGCTGCAGATATAATGAGAAACAGTTCAAAATAATTAGGGGAAAGAGACAGTTTTTGTGGGAAAGAAAAAGTCTTAAGAGAAATCCGTTTAAGTAAAACTAGGGTTTCAGAAAACTGGAAACAGGGCTACACATTGGATGAGAAAACTTGGATAAATCATGGGATTTATGTACATTACATTACAGACCCAGAAAAGGAAAATTCCAAGCTAGCTCTTGATCTGCTGAAGGGGGGTACTGATCAAGGATACTGGATACTGCATAGGGAATACTAGAGACTGGAGCAGATTACACCAAAACGTAATAAACTAGGTGCAAGGACGAATATCTGCGTCTGAAAATACTTGTTGCGCTACTACTGTTTTATCCAGATTCTCTAGGTTTACTAATATTGCCCCAGAGCTGTCTCTTGCCAACCTATCCGTCATCACCACTCCTCCGAACAACCTGGAGGGAGGAGGATTATAATTATTTTTCAAAACTTTTATTTGAATGAATAGCTATTATTAATTTCTAACCTATGGTGCCAGGAGAGTTTGGAGTTTGCCCAACAAGCAAAATCTTCTCCGTTGAGAGTAAACCCCTTATTTAAAACAACATAGGCTCTTGGCACCTAGATTTAACAAACCATTTAATCTTCATTCAAGAAACATTGAACCATATAGCACCTTTCCTTAAAAATCATTGAATCTTGAACCTTTATTCAAGAGAACATTAAATATTGTTCTTTTTATTCAAGAAAATATTTAACCTTGGTAATCAAATTTAAGAAAACATTGAATTTTATTATCTTAATTTAAGAAAACACGTGACTTTTTGTCCCTTAATTTAAAATTTACCTTTAACTGTACATTTCCAACCCCTTGAGTTGTACCTGTCAAACCCCAAACCCTTGAACCCTACCTATCCAACCCCTTGAACCCTACCTATCCAACCCATTGACCTCTACCTGTCTAACCTCTTGAACTCCAAATGACCAACCCCTTGAACCCTACCTATCAAACCCCTTGACCTCTACCTATCCAACTCCTTGAACCCTACATATCCAACTCCATGAACCCTACCTATCTAACCCATTAACCCTACCTCTCCGACCCTTTGACATGCCCAAACCCTTGACCTCTAGCTGTCCAACCCCTTGAACTCTACCTGTTCAACCCCTTGAACTCTACCTGTTCAACCCCTTGAACTCTACCTGTCCAATCCCTTGACATCTACCTGTCCAACCCCTTGTCCTGTACCTGTTCAACCCTTTGACCTTTGCCTGTCCAACCCCTTGAACTCTACCTGTTCAACCCCTTGAACTCTACCTGTTCAATCCCTTGAACTCTACCTGTCCAATCCCTTGACATCTACCTGTCCAACCCCTTGTCCTGTACCTGTTCAACCCTTTGACCTTTGCCTGTTCAACTCCTTGACCTCTACCTATTCAACCCCTTCAAACCCTTGACCTCTGCATGTCCAAATAATTAAAACCCTTGAACTCTACTTGTCCAACCCCTTGAACCCCTTGACCTTTACCTGTCCAACCCCTTCAACTCTACCTGTTCAGCCCTTTAAACTCTACCTGTCCAACCCCCTGAACTCTTCCTGTCTCACTCCTTGAACTTTATCTCTCTATAAATCTATCTCTTCCAAATCTTGTCTTTCCAACCCCTTGAACTCTACCTGTCCAACCAGATCCCTTGAAACCCTTGAATTGTACCTGTCCAACCCCTTGAACCTTAACCCCACGGATTGCTACGTCACAGATTCCGGGATGAAGAAGGAGCTGCTTCTCCAGGTATCTACGAAATATAGATAAAAGAGTTTTCTTTTCAGTAAAGAAGAGCAAAGAGTTTCAATAAAATATTAGGCTATCTGGAATGTTACCTACCTTCGCTGTATCGTAAAAATTCTCGAAGATACCGGATATTTTGAGAAGTTTTTTTATTGGGTAAAATTTAATCTTTGTGACAACCTGAAATTTTCTAATCCCTATTTTTGGCAACATTATAGTGTATTTCAAACTTGAATTTTTTATCTAAGAAAGTTCAAAGTTTGAAATAGTTAAGGTCTATGACACTAGGTTGCAAAGATATAGAAAGTCAGAGTGTGTTGGTTATAAGTATTCTATACCTAGTGGATACAGACACATGTAACCAATAGTTTAACTCCTCTTCTTCTCCTTGTATTCCTTCCCCTTCCTTTCTTCCTTTATCCTTCTCCTCCTCCTCATTCTCCTCCAACCCCTCGGAGCTCAGTATATTCTCTCTAGATCCTCGTCTTGATCTTAAACAAGAAACAATTTAAATATTTAGTATTTTTCATGATGCTGGGAAATTTTCTAAATATAAATATGAAGTTTAAGACTAAAAAGTCCTATAACCAATTAAAATATTTGAACCTGTTGAAAATTGACAGAAAAGATCTATCTTATCTACAGTTTACCACACAGATTTTGAGGCATTGGGAGAATTTATGAAATGTCGTCTTGACATTTTTCAATGGGTTTTATACTATTTTACGTAAATCTCAGTAATTGCAAAAAAAAACAATTATCCATGAATATGCGGGAATAGTTTTAAAGAGCGCTATATAAGAATTTAATTAAAAACTAAATGTTTGTAGCATTCCATTATCAGAACTTTAAGAATACGACATTTCATAAATTCTTCCCATGACTCTTTATATTTGAACTAAACTGTATAAAATATCTTCTATTAAAATGTCCTATTTATAAAATGAAATGTCCTCTTTATGAAATGTCCTGTTTATGAAATGTCCTGTTATGAAATGTCCTGTTTATGAAATGTCCTGTTTATGAAATGTTATCTATGAAACGTTCTAGCTGTCTCTGAAATTTTAACCAATGAAATGTCAAATCTGTGCCTTATATGTAGTTTCAGTCTTTTATATTTGGTTTTATGATTTTCTCCGGAAGTCATTAAACAATGTTATATTTATTTAATATTTCATTTTCTTAATTGGACAACGTTTAATAAAATGTCATGGTCTCTTCATATTTACTTATTTTATATAATATTGGTGTCCTGAAAATATTTTATACATCGTTTAATAGTGTTGTTCTGAAAATAAAACTATTTAAGTTTATTGTAGGCATCATGTCAAGCGAAAGTCCATTTGTAGAGTGGGGTGTCAGATTCACAACAGCACCCTTAAAAGCATTCTCTGCTCAATTGTGGTTTCTCTATAACAAAAGTGACTCGCAAAGCAAACAATTTATGAATCATCAGAATTAAACACTTTACAGGCTAGAAAAACGAAAATTATCTTTTACATTATTGATCAGATATTGGGTACCTTTGTGAATCTGATAATCCCCCTCTTTTCATGGAGGAACAAATGTCCGACAAAAAACGTTGCACTTATACATAAAGATCCTTGAAACTCGGAGTAAACGATTAGTTTGATTTAAACCTTGATCTCATTCCGTAAACATCCTGAGGTTCAAGATACTGCAGAGTTTTCTCCGCAGGGTTGAGCAGAGCATCCGCAGCTTCAGAGGCTCGTCGGGCTCGTGGGCTCACAGGAGGTAGATCCATCTGCAGAGAAAGAGTTGGAGTTTTCTCACCAGGTGCTCCTTCCTCTCCTTTCACAGGAGGGATAAACTTCTGCAGGACGGATCTTCGGACCTTCCAGTTCTCATCCCTGGATAGGTATATACAAGGTTTTAATGCAAGGAAATTTAGTTGCAGTTGCGTATACTCTGCGTAAATATTGAAACCAGTTCTCTCTGGGCGGAATTTGTAAACAAGAATAGATGCATCAGTGTTCGTTTAGTATCTAAGGAGGTTAAAAGCATTAAATTTTTGATAATTTTGATAATTCACACAATAGTTTCCTATGACCAGAATAATTCATTGATTTTTGATGTGATAAATGGATCCCATGTCAGGCTTCGACATCCGTCTTGTGTTTACATTCCCGCCCAGAAACAGTACACTGTAGTACAAGAGATGCGCAAACCTCTGAAATAACTTTCCTTGCATTATAACCTTGGATAGATAGATATATATATATAGATAGATAGAAAGACAAAAACATAGATAAAAGTTTGTTAGATAGATAGATAGATAGATAGATAGATGGATAAATAGATAGATACTAGATAGATAGATAGATAGATAGATAGATAGATAGATAGATAGATAGATAGATAAGATAGATAGATAGATAGATAGATAGATAGATAGATAGATAGATAGATAGATAGATAGATAGATAGATAGATAGATAGATAGATAGATGGATAGAAAGAAATAGTACCTGGGGATGTGTTGTATATAATGTAATCCACCCCTAAGCCTCTCATGGTCCTAATCCAACCAAAAATATCTTAACTAGATCAAAAGGCGGAAGGGGGGGGGGAGTTTTAAAATTGAAATTCGAAAAAATCTGTAAGAGTTTAAGTAAATAATTTAGGAATTCCTTGCAACATGTAAAAATATGTAGATATATTTTTACATTTTATTCTGTCGTTTTTGGAGACGTTCAAGAATTAGTTTATTATAAAACAAAAGCAAAGAATTTTCCTTTCAACTTTATGAGCAGGGTAGGACGGAAACCCGCGGGCTTATGTAATTGCTTGATGAAATAGTTTAATTACTGTTTCCTTACAGCAATATTTAAACCTATCCTTTTACGTCATAGTAGAACGTAAACAAACCTACTTTTTTCTAGTTCTATTACTCCTGCAAATATCTATATAATAAAACAAGACATTCGTATATATATATGTTGCGCATAGCCGGCCAAACGGCTGGACCGATTGGGCTGAATTTTTTGTGGACACTCATGGGGGCTCACGTACAAAAGGTAGAATTACAAAAGGTAGAATGACAAAAGGTAGAATGACAAAAGGTAGAACGATCAAAAGGTAGAATGACAAAAGGTAGAACAATCAAAAGGTAGAACAATCAAAAGGTAGAATAAACAAAAGGTAGAACGTTCAAAAGGTAGAATTACAAAGGGTAGAACGTTCAAAAGGTAGAATTTTTTATTTTTGAGAAAGAAGAAAATTTTCTAATTTTTACAAGAAAATCCGCGATTTTTTTTTTAAATCACAAAACTGCATTTCTCGGTTGAATTCAGCATGGAGAGGTTGGTTAACTATGGGGTAAATCAAAAGAAGAAAAGAACATTGATTGACGACCAGAAATATGAATATAATTTTGAGAAAATTAAGAATGGAACAGAGTTCTGGCGATACCAGAAGTTCTTTGTTGGCATGCTATACAGTCTGGCATATGTTCCTCCTGAGGATATTGTTAAGGTTATTCTTAGAATTAAAATTGACATTTTCAATTACAGCCATACTTGATCCAACCATCTTTGTTATCCACAGGTCTATGAGAATATTATCCTAGAGCATGTAGAGGAACATGGAGATTTGTGGCCTGACTGGTCAGAGGAGGTTAGGCTGTTTGTTGCCTACTTAGATAGGACCTGGATTAGCAAACTGCCTATGACCAGAAACAGGGCCATTTGAACGTTCTACCTTTTGTAATTCTACCTTTTGTCGTTCTACCTTATGATCGTTCTACCTTTTGATCGTTCTACCTTTTGTCATTCTACCTTTTGTAATTCTACCTTTTGTACTGGAGCCCTCATGGGTGGCCGGGGGGTGTTATAAGCTAAAAAAATGTTTAAATTTTTTTCCCACGGGCAACGCCGGGCCCTTCAGCTAGTATTAGATATTTTAGTCTAAGATATAATCCTGAAGTCGAGATTCAAGGAAATTAGTCAAATTTTCTTCTGTCTCTTCGTGCCCGGACTAGGAGAACGAAAACAATGCAATTAATTTTCTATTAGAAAGAGATTCTTTAAATTTTGTTAAGTTCATATTTTGATCGTTTTTTTGCATTTGTTTCTTTTTTTCCTTAAGAACTACGAAAGCTCTTGGTAATTGTCCATTTTCCTAAACAAACAGTTATTCCTTTTCCAGTCTTGAAATTAAGATTGTGTAGCCAAGGAAATTAGAATAAAATCATCCAAAACTTGAAAGAATATCGATATTTAATGAGGGCAAATTCATTTAAGTTTAAGTGTAGACTGTGGAAAGGAAATTCATATAAGATGTTCTAAGTTTCAGAGTTTTGAAGACGACATTTATTTTCATCTCGGATCGATGCAGATAAAAGAAATAATTTCCTTGTCTTGAATCCCAACTACTGCTGCATCTACAACACTATTATGGCAGAGAAGTCGAGCCTCTAGTACGCTAGGAGACACCTCGTACATCCAGAAGCTGATTAAGTTCGAGATCTAAACATGTCAAGATTGGTTAGGGGAGTTGGGAGCAAGATTGTATAATACAACCTTGGTTGGGAGTTTATAATCAAAACATAGCAGTATGGGTTGGGAGTTCAAGATCTAAACATGCCAGGATGGGTTGGGAGTTCAAGATCTAAACATGTCAGGATGGGTTGGGAGTTCGAGATCTAAACATATCAGGATGGATTGGGAGTTCAAGATCTAAACATGTCAGGATGGGCTGGGAGTTCAAGATCTAAACATGCCAGGATGGGTTGGGAGTTCGAGATCTAAACATATCAGGATGGGTTGGGAGTTAAAGATCTAAACATGTCAGGATGGGTTGGGAGTTCAAGATATAAACATGTCAGGATGGGTTGGGAGTTCAAGATCTAAACATATCACGATGGGTTGGGAGTTCAAGATCTAAACATTTCAGGATGGGCTGGGAGTTCAAGATCTAAACATGTCAGGATGGGTTGGGAGTTCAAGATCTAAACATATCACGATGGGTTGGGAGTTAAAGATCTAAACATTTCAGGATGGGTTGGGAGTTAAAGATCTAAACATGTCAGGATCGGTTGGGAGTTAAAGATCTAAACATGTCAGGATGGGTTGGGAGTTACAGATCTAAACAGGTCAGAATGGTTTGGAAGTTCAAGATCTAAACATGTCAGGATGGGTTGGGAGTTAAAGATCTAAACATATCAAGATAGGCTGGGAGTTCAAGATCTAAACATGTCAGGATGGGTTGGGAGTTCAAGATCTAAACATGTTAGGATGCGTTGGGAGTTCGAGATCTAAACATGTCAGGATGGGTTGGGAGTTCGAGATTTAAACATGTCAGGATCGGTTGGGAGTTAAAGATCTAAACATGTCAGGATGGGTTGGGAGTAACAGATCTAAACATGTCAGGATGGTTTGGAACTTCAAGATCTAAACATGTCAGGATGGGTTGAAAGTTAAAGATCTAAACATATCAAGATAGGCTGGGAGTTCAAGATCTAAACATGTCAGGATGGGTTGGGAGTTCAAGATCTAAACATGTCAGGATGCGTTGGGAGTTCGAGATCTAAACATGTCAGGATGCGTTGGGAGTTCGAGATCTAAACATGTCAGGATGGGTTGGGAGTTCAAGAACTAAACATGTCAGGATGGGCTGGGAGTTAAAGATCTAAACATGTCAGGATGGGTTGGGAGTTCAAGATCTAAACATGTTAGGATGGGTTGGGAGTTCAATATCTAAACATGTCTGGATGAGATGGGAGTTCAAGAACTGAACATAATAGGGCGGGTTGGGAATTCAAGAACTAAGCATATCTAAACATAAGTATTTATAGATATATGTTGGGAGTTTCAATAAAGAATATAAATGATTTAAAAAGTACCTTTATCTAAACCATTTTTTCTACTTTTAAATGATAAAATCATATATCAAGATCTTATTAAACTTGCCGTAGAAAAAAGAACTTGAATGTAAGAATCACAGAATGATAAAATTAAGAAAATTTTTTAATCATTATAAATATACCTCTTCCATGAAGTGAATGGCCCCCTCCTTGTCGTAGTATCCCAGGTCTCCAGTGTGGAAGAACCCGTCGGAGTCGAGAAACTTCTCCTCCTTACCCTTGTATCCAACCATCAACTGACAGGTTTTCACACACAGCTCTCCCTGCACCAGGAGATTCATCATTTTGTACATAGCATCTTTTTATCTCCCCCAAAAACTTTTACATTTTTACATAGTTAGCCATGTGCGTGTAACTCAACCACCCTAGCTATACATGTTTGAAAGTTTAAAACCTTCCGACCGGGGACAGGTCCTCCTGTAACCCTATCTACAACCTTTAATACGCTAACATGTTTGGAAACTCAACCCGGAGTTAAACCAACCTGCATATCAGGACCGGAGACTGGTCCTCCTATAACTCTATCTACAATCTTGAACATTGTAAACATGTTTGGAAACTCAACCCGGAGCTAAACCAACCTGCATATCAGGACCGGAGACTGGTCGTCCTGTAACTCTATCTACAATCTTGAACACTGTAAACATGTTTGGAAACCCAACCCGGAGTTAAACCAACCTGCATATCAGGACCGGAGACAGGTCCTCCTGTAACTCTATCTACAATCTTGAACACTGTAAACATGTTAGGAAACCCAACCGGCATCAGGTGATCGTCAGGCATCTCAACCTTAATGAAATCCATTCATAAAGAATGTTTAAAAATAAATTGTTAAATTGTTTACCTTTGACATCATTTGTTTAGCTCTATCCTTTGGATAGGTGTAGGTCAGTAAACCTGCTTCTTTTATTCCATAAGCTTCCCTGAACAATGTTCAGAATTCATTGGAAAGATGAGAAGCTCTAATTTTTCTTTTCCTTATATTTTTGCAACCTGGTGTCGTAGACCTTTAATATTTCATACTATGATTTCGGTAATCTAATGTATGTTTGAATGTCTTAAGTAAAAGTCTTATGCTTTGCATTACGTTAAAAAACTGATTTGAAAGCTAAATCTAGTCTGAATATTCTGAACCTACCTGACATACTTGATGTTGGGATGTTTTTCAAAAACTTCATTTTTCACGGTTTGATTGAGAAGTGATCCACCCGTAACCAGTAGACGGAGATGGGACAAATCATACTTCTCAACTAGAGTTTAAGTGAGATGATTTACAATTCAAGAGAGATAATTTACAATTTAAGAGAGATAATATATTTGAAGATAGATATATATTTGAAGAGAGATAATATATTTGAAGAGAGATATATATTTGAAGAGTGATAATATATTTGAAGAGAGATATATATTTGAAGAGAGATAATATATTTGAAGAGAGATATATATTTGAAGAGAGATAATATGAGATAATGTTCCTATTAAATCCCCTCCCCCCTTTCCATTTTTTGAGAGATCCTTTTAAGAAGATACAAATAAAGATGAAAGAAAAAATATTTTTTTAAATATCATTAAGTTAAGTTCAAACTCAAATAAAATCAGAATTGAATGACTCAGAATTACATGACAAGGAATGCATGCCCATTAAAGTAAAAAACTACGCTCGTACTTTTAATTCCACTATTTTCTCTTCGATTAAGTAATCTCTTTCTCTCTAGCTGTCAAACCTTTCTCAGATTTCGGGGGATATCTTAGTCCCCCCGGCAGACTGTAAAGATGATTATGATGTGAAAAGTGTATATTTTATCTGAATATTTCCCCCAACTGCCCTTTCAATCTACTGTTTTGGAGATTAAATTTTACCTTTGGAATGCAGACGTCTCAAAACTAACAAATTATATTTTTTGAGGCAGGGGGGGGGGGGCTTAAATTTTGACATAGTTGGTCCCTTTTTGTGCTTTCAAAAAAATTATTATTACATATTATGGTGGGATCACGTTGAACTCCAAGAATAAACAGTTTTAAATTGGAAAACATCCTGACAATTGTTTTATTAAAAAAATGTTCACCTAAAGGAGAAGAGGTCAGCATTCGAACCTGCCATGAGTAAAGAATAGCTGTTGATATACTAGGATCAGCTAAACCTAAATCATTATCCATTACGTGTGTGGATAGTTCTTGATATACTAGGATCAGCTAAACCTAAATCATTATCCATTACGTGATATACTAGGATCAGATAAACCTAAATCATTATCCATTACGTGTGTGGATAGTTCTTGATATACTAGGATCAGCTAAACCTAAATCATTATCCATTACGTGTGTGGATAGCTGTTGATATACTAGGATCCGATAAACCTAAATCATTATCCATTACGTGTGTGGATAGCTGTTGATATACTAGGATCCGCTAAACCTAAATCATTATCCATTACGTGTGTTTTCATCCGTGTACTCCGAGAGAACATGAAGAGTCAATCCCAGTGCAGCAGACAGGGCGAAGCTGTACAAACCTAAAGATAAATATCAAAATTACTACAATTTATTTTTAAATATACACATATGTACAGATAAATATTAAATTGCATATGCCTTTGTTCAATGGCAAAACATCTATGCTGTGTTAAGATAACCTAACTTTGATATCATTGTTAATAGAACTTCCTAGAGTTCAGATCAACTTATCCAACAGTAGAGATAATTGATATGTTTCTAGAACAACGAGTAATATTCTTTTTATATCGAAATAACTTACCGATAGTATGGAAAACTTTCCTGTAATATGGAAAACTAACCCGCTGCGTGGAAAACTAACCCATAATGTTGAAAACTAACCTGCAGTGTGAAAAACTTACATGTAGTGTGGAAACCTAACCAATAATAATATAATAATAATAATAATGTATATTTTAAACTAGTTTACAGTTTAATGTTGTGTGAAAACCTTACATGCAGTGTGGCAAACTAACATGTAGTTCGGAAAACTAACCTGTAGTGTGGAAATCTAACCTACAGTGCGGATAACTAACCTGTACTTTGGGAAACTAACCTGTAGTGTGGAAAACTAACCTGTAGTTCGGAAAACTAACCTGTAGTGTGGAAAACTAACCTGTAATATGGAAAACTGATCTGTAGCTTGGGAAACTAACCTCTAGTGTGGAAATCTAATCTGTAGTGTGGAAAACTAACCTGTTGATGTGGAAAACTAACCTGTAGTGTGGAAAACTAACCTGTAGTGTGGAAAACTAAGCTGTAGTGTGAAAAACTAACCTGTAGTGTGGAAAACTGACCTAGTGTGGAAAAATAAACTGTAGTGTGGAAATTACTAACCTGTAGTGTGGAAGACTGACCTAGTGTGGAAAACTAACCTTTAGTGCGGACACTTAACAGGTTAGTGTGGACACTAACCTGTAGTGTGGAAAAATAACCTAGTGTTGAAAAATAACCTGCAATGTGGAAAACTAACCTGTAGAGGGGAAAACTTACCTGCAGTGTGGAAAACAAAGCTGCAGTGTGGAAAACTAGTTTGTAGTATGGAAAACTAACCTGTAGTGTGGAAAACTAACCTGTAGTGTGGAAAACTAACCTGCAGTGTGGAAAACTAGTTGGTAGTGTGGAAAACTAACCTGTAGTGCGGAAAACTAACCTGTAGTGTGGAAAACTAACCTGTAGTGTGGAAAACTAGCCTGTAGTGTGGAAAACTAGCCTGTAGTGTAAAAACTATTCTGAATTGTGGAAAACTAACCTGCAGTGTGGAAAACTAACCTGTGGTGTGGAAAACTTACCTGTAGTGTGGAAAACTAACCTGTAGAGTGGAAAACTAACCTGTAGTGTAGAAAAATAAAACCATAGTGTGGAAAACTAGTTTGTAGCGTGGAAAACTAACCTGTAGTGAGGAAAACTAACCTGTGGTGTGGAAAACTTACCTGCAGTATGGAAAACTAACCTGTAGTGTAGAAAAATAAAACTGTAGTGTGGAAAACTAGTTTGTAGTGTGGAAAACTAACCTGTAGTGTAGAAAACTAACCTTTAGTGTGAAAAACTAACATGTAGTGTGGAAAACTAACCTGTAGTGTGGATAAAAACCTGTAAAGTGAAAAGCCAACCTGTAGTGTGGAAAAACCAACATCCACCGAAGACGACTTCACTTTGGTTCTAGAGAAATAAAAGTTCACATCCTCATCTTTGCAATTCTACAGTTACAAATACATTTAAATGCTGAGAAACATGATCATTGATTTAGAGGTGTTAGGTACTTTCCCAAAGACATTTTCCCAAAGGCAACTTCCCAAGTGACAATTTCCCAAGCGGCAATTTCCCAAATGTGCCATTTCCCAAGTGACAACTTCCTAAAAGTTAGAATAGGCCTTCTGAGGCGCCACAGGCTGGAATGGTGGATGAGTTCTGCGGCTATGATGGGCTGGGGGACGAGCGCTGCGGTTAGAACAAGCTAGAAGGCCGAGCTCTGCAACTAAGAACAGATTAGGAAAGTTGCCGTTGGGGAAATTGCACATTTGGGAAGTTGCCACTTTGGAAAATACCCTTGGAAAGTTGCCGCTTGGGGAAAATCTTTGGAAAAATACCAAACATCGATTTAGATGTCGACGATCAATTAAAACTATGTGAATAAAAACTTGATAGAAAAAGGTAGATGACCTGATCTAACCAATGGTTGGAAGTACCACTAGGACTAAACATCTGAGACAGGAGAGATTTATTAGTATGCTCCACCAGGAGTGGTTCATCCTTTATACTCGTCCAGATCAGATATATTGGATCCTTCTCCAGGGATACAGGTTTCAAGCTCACTCTTACGTTCTCCTCTGTATTCATTAGCTTACGAAAGCATAATGCATCCTCTGCACATTCATCCTGGAGGAATTAATATACTTTTAAACAAACTTAATTCAGAATTAAGTTATGCAACAATAAACAATAAAATGAAATTAACCTGATCCATTAAAATAATATGTTTAATAGAGGAAACTTTAGATTTTAACGCCAGTGCATCCTCGAGGTTCAACTCGTCACAGACCAGATATCCGGCAGCTGTCTCTAACAGCTGGGTCGCCAGTTTATCTGTATGGATGAGACAGTTGACAGGCATAACAGCTGCTCCTAGCTCCCAGGCAGCAAGACAACAGATCCAGTATTCAACAAAGTTTGTTGTCCACATACAGACAACAGATCCTTTCTCAACACCTAGCTTGCTCAGACCCTAGTGAACAAAGAAATTATGTACTTTCTCAAACGCAAACTTACAAATCCATGTATATATTTGCAACCTGATAATATATCAATATCTTAAATATCTAAAAGTTTGAAATATTGTTTTCTATAACATCAGTTTGCAAAGATATACGGGTTAGAAAATTAGAATGTTTCTAGATTCTTTAAAGGAGTTTTTGCCATATATATGATTTCAACCCAATGTCGTAACTCTATGACAAACTATGAATTCTGTTAGATTAAATAGTCTAAGTTTGAAATATGAAAGGTTTACACTTTTAAGTTACAAAGATATAGAGATTAGAAAGTTTAAGATTGTGGCAAAATCTCAGTTCCTTTGACTAGATTTGATTAAAAGGAAACAAGAGTTTACCTTTACAACTCTTTCAACATGAATCTTTGCTGAAGCATACGTCTCACTTCTCCCTGTTGTGATATCCTTCATCCAAACCTTGTTTTTAGACTGGTTCCCCATATTCCCCAGTATCCAGGAGGAGAAGGATTGTTTAGGGATTTCCGTCTCGCGCTTCCAAGCACTGAACTTACAGAACCCAGGGGTTGATACTATACCCTGAGAATTAGATCCTTGTACAGTGAAAACTAGACGACTTTAAAAATCAAGTGATAGTAAAGTCCAATGAGAATAAAATCCATGGTAATTGTGCAGTGTAAACAGACCCTAAATTAGTAATTTAATAAGTGTCTAGTAAAACTATTTGCTTTTTGACAGCATCAAATACACTTCATGTATTTATATAATTCCGTCTTCCTATGCTATTGTTTTCTAAGTAATCACTGTAAATATATATTTTTTATTCATCTTAATCCCAGATTTATATTGACCGGACATGTTTACTCAAACAACTTGAAGATCTACAATTATTCACAAAAAATTACATCAAAGAGAACAATAGTTCTTCATGATTTTGGACTTTTAATTGAAGATTATAGTATAATTGTTCAATGTCTTGTAATGTAAAAAATATTTTTGAATGGATTGGTTTTAAAAAGTTTAAGATTATTTAAATTTTGAAATTAGTCCAATGAGATATAATTTAAAATTTCTACACAATATCCCGTCTAGAGGTTGTAACTTATGTATATGTTTATCTTTAAAGACTTTAATTTAAAGAGTTTAAATATGTTTAATCCGCGAATATGTGTGTACCACAGATAAATAAATAAACGTACGTACTCCTCTCTCGCACATTTTTCGTCGCTTGTTTTGTCAATGTTTAGAAATACGTTAATCCGTCTAACCACAAAATAAACAGATTAATGTCTATGAAGGGATAAACCTTACAAAAGTTTCGATCTCTGGTTGATTTACCTTATACTTGGCGTGCATAGGGTTAACGGTTAAGGATAAACTCGCTACACTTCCTCTTCTTGTTTCTCCGGACCCTGCATCCCTTGAGTACAGGTTCCTCATCTAATAATATTAAACTGTTAATCATCACGACGCACTACGCACGTGAAATTAACTACAACAAATTTCATCCTATTTGTATCGACATATTTTCAGTAATATTTTGGAGAATAACGTAAATACTTCAAATAGACAAAAAAAATTAAAGAAGCAAATACGAAAAATGCTTTTATTTATCAGGTGAAAATGGTTTCCAAATTTAAGGCTCAGTGACTTACAGAGCGTCCCATATCATATTACGCACATAATATAAAAAGCCAGTATTTTCTGCATGCAAAACTTTATATATTTTTTTAATGAATTGTTCTTTTTAAATTTTCTGTTTAGTCCGGGAAATCGCAATTTAAAGCTATAACACGATCCAATATGATGTTGGACACCCTGTATAACCAGGACTGCTAATTTACTGTGTGGGCAAATGAGTGGCAACGGCTTTGTAACTAATTGGGTTTAGATTTGAGATGACTTTATTCCAAAAAACAACACGAAATATTAAAAACAATTTCTGTAGATAATTATTTCTATAATTCTTAAAAGAGGGGAAATATCTTTAATCGATTTTTTTTCCTAAACTTGTTCTATGTAAGTATAAAACAGGATTTATTGAAATTCGGTTCAGTCATTACGAGGTTATCACCCGACATCAGCCAAATAGGTGATTGTTTCAGATATTTCGATCTACACATGATATTGGGTTTCTTGATGTGAAGAAAAAAATTATCCAACCGATATTTTCTCGGATAAAATCTTATGTTTACCTTTAGGGATATTTAGATAAAATCTTGTGTTTACCTTTAGGGATATTTAGATAAAATCTTGTGTTTACCTTTAGGGATATTGGGATAAAATCTTGTGTTTACCTTTAGGGATATTGGGATAAAATCTTGTGTTTACCTTTAGGGATATTGGGATAAAATCTTATGTTTACCTTTAGGGATATTGGGATAAAATCTTGTGTTTACTTTTATGGATATTGGGATAAAATCTTGTGTTTACTTTTAGGGATATTGTTGTGTTTACCTTTAGGGATATTTGGATAAAAACTATGAATAATTAATCTTTTCCTTGAAGAACAATGGAATTCATATTCCTTATCGGTCAACTGTTTTCCCTAGACTGGGCCCTCACATCTTTAAATCCAGGATTTCAGCTTTCATGATCGCAGATACACCTAGACACCTGCCCTTTCATATCTCATGATATATAGGAGAAGGGATATCATTCCATGTATCCCCTAGATCCCCTTGAATCCCCCCCCCCTACAAATCCCCACTCATTTTAAATATCAGGTTGGGTTTCTAACATTTTAAAATATCAAAACTCAGATTTTTAGGCGGGGAGTCTACACGACATGTACACCTGTGTCTTCAGTTTGTACTTTTTTGTAAAACATGATGAGAAAACCTGACCTGGAAATACTTTTTGTAAAACATGATTAGAAAACCTGACCGGGAAATACTTTTTGTAAAACATGATTAGAAAACCTGACCGGGAAATACTTTTAAAAACATTGTTTTACAAACAAATTATTTTGATAAGATTTTTTTATCCATTTAAAAAATATTAATTTGTTCAAAGCTTTTTTAAACCAAATAAATGTAAAACTTTTTAAAAAGAAAAATTATCAAATGCTTTTCATCAGTCTACATTCAGAAAACCAAAAACTTCAAAAATAAATTTAATTTATTTAATAAAACGTAACATAGCTTAGGATATAATTGCATTATTGAATATAATTAAGAATAGAGTCAATTTAAAGAAATTAACTAGAATTAGAAATGTAACTTAATAATTTGTTAATTAAAAAAAATCTTAAATCCTTTCGAAAATATGTTTAAGATGTTCCCTGTTTCTGATTTCATAATTTTTCATACTAGCAGATTTTATTTTAGCTAGATATTATTCAAAGTGGAAACTGAAGAATTTGTCAAGGGGGCGGTTTTCTTTTTTTCTTTCTTTTGGGGGCGCAGCACTCATTGGTGCCCAAAATCCCCCAAGGAAACCATAGATTTCACTAATCCAGGGGGTGGAGACAGAATTCTGATCCCCCTAGCCCACCAGGAGTACGCCGCTGAGATACAAAATACAAAACTCTAAACGATATCTGAATACTTAAAGTCACAAACTAACTTTTTAATCCATGCATACTTCCAACCAAATATCATAGATCTGTAATATTTCTAACTCTGTAAGAATTCTGCTAGATCAGGAAGTTTTTTTATAAAGTATCAAAGCTTTCCATCCACAGGTTGAAAAGATATAGGGGTTGGTAAATCAAAGTTAACGACAAGTGTGAAAGAATTCCTAGGCGGTTTCAGGGGGTGGGGGTGACAGTCCATTACTCCCCCCCTGAGTAAAATTAGGGGGGGGGGTGTACCCCCCTGGATTTTTACAAAAAAATTCTCATTTAAAGTATAGTTTTTATTCATTCTTCTATATAAATAATAAAGTGTACTAGAAAGTGCCAACATTATGAAAATAAATTTTAAGTAAGATATCAATTATCAAGTTTCTACATATTAAATCCCTCCTCCATAAAATACATCCGTACTTTTCCCCTTCTATGACCCCTGACAGGTTGGTCAACCTGGGACGGATGGCAATGCATCCCAAGAGGCTTGCCTCAATTTCCGACATTAGTGTTTTTAATTCATTCATTTCTAGTGGCCCAAGAAAACTAGTTTATCGTAGACTAGAAAGGGAGGATTTTTTTATTTACTTTCAGCCTTCGCCCTTCTTACGGTATACTTTTATTTTTAACTCTAAAATTAACATAGAAACTCCTGCGAGAAAAATTAGCATGATTTAAGAAGAGAAAGAATAATAGCAGAAAAATACAAATAATTCCCCCTTCCAACATGATTGATAGGTGCTATGGAAACGCCTCAACACGGAAACGCCTCAACACGGAAACGGACCCAAAAGTGAGTTTGGGTCCGTTTCCTTCTTTTTTCAAGAATTATCGGAAATCCCTCAAAAACTAAAAAGTGTAGAGGGATTTCCGGATATTTTGGGTCGGTTTCCGCTATTGATAGGCGGTTTCATGATTTAAGAATTTAATATTTTATAATTTTTAGAAAAAAAATAATCAATTTACTTTTATCCAGCTGCCGTTGCATCTTTTGTGAGAGCAAAAATGTTTATCAGAGTTTTTCTCTTATAATTAAAAAATTATCAGAGTTTTTCTCTGATAATATTTTGAGGATTTCTAAAAATGTGAATGTTAACGGGGTGCAGTAAAGGTAAACATGTAAAATGCATATATGCGTAACATATAAGGTTATATAAGGTTATCTTTGCAAGCTTGCAATAAAAATGCAAGTCACTTGCAAACCCCATTCCCCAATATTATACATACATACATACATTATACAATTTTATAGATACAATTCCACATACAGTACAATATTACAGATACAATCCCCCATACAGTACAATATTATAGATTCAATTCCCCATACAGTATAATATTATAGATACAATTCCCCATACATTAAAATATTTAAGATACAATTTTGAAATGTCAATAAAGCTAGTGTGTCGCAAGACTTGTATTCAAACTGCTCACTGCAGACGACTGAGAAGGCAACCCTGAAAATTTGTGTCTCCTATAATAATCTATTTTATTTTAATTGTTAAAATTAAAACTAAAACTAAATATTTAATAGATACAATTAGGGGGGGCCCCTAGGATAGTTTACCAAGTAAATAAATATAATGTTTGAAGCGCAGCACGCAAAAATGATCCCCCCCCCCGGCCCCCCCTGCAGAAAAATAAAATTCGCTTACAACAAAAATTGCTACACTTTGATTAAGTTGTAAAAGAAAAAATAGTATGTGCTAAAGTGTACGTACACAATGTAATGTAGTTAAAAGAAGTATTTATGGTTTAGGTCGATTTCCCTTAGGTCGATTTGTGTAGCATCTTTGTTGGTTTTTAATAGGTGATCGTCTTCATTTTAGGAAATCGCGGCAAAACAGTTCCGTATTTCCTGTGTACAGGGTATAAACTGAATTTCAACACGTGGGATTTAGGATTCAGCAATCAGCAACGACTGACTTGACTTGACTTCCAGGCTTTCTCTTCTTGCTAAGAAAGTTAATGTTTTAACTTACTATGCATCAACCGAATTTGAACGACGCTCAACACTAATAAATTCAAAGTGAGTGAGTGGTACTCGGTATTTACATTTTACATGCCTCGTGTGACGGACCTGTTATAAACAGTAGACGTATCTTAGCACAAATTGTTGCTATATATCGGAAACATTTTAAAGTTTCGTCTCCTTGCACATGCAATTATTAATCGCTGATTAGGTGTTCAGTTTAAAATGAGCGATGTAATTATCAGACATTTAATTGCTCGCATTTTGATGCATTTAGAAATTTAGAAATTAAGTTAATCAATCAGACATTTAACTAATGATCGACCCAAGTTTACTCGAATGTTGTACGTGGCCGCCGTTATGATACGTTAACAATTGTTATCTGGTCAAGTGTTTAGTTTACATGTATGTAATCTTAATATTTAATAAGATATACAATGGCAGACTGGGGAAATTCTAGAGGTGATGGTGCAGGTAGAGTTGGAGATGTTTCATTGGTCATGTGGCACCCTCGACCGTTTGGCTGTGCGCTCTGCCCTCTAGCCTGTTTAGCAGCAGCGCTCGGGCTATAGCCAATCCTAGCTGCAGCGCAGCGCTTGGTTAGGAGATAGAAGTATAATAAACATGATTGGTTATAGTAAAGGAGTATGATAACATGGTTAGAGGAAAAAAGTTTAACAAACGTGATAGGTTATAGTAAAGGAGTATAATGACAGTGATTGGTCAGAGGAAAGTCGAGTACAATAAACGTGATTGGTTAAAGGAAAGGAGTACAATAAACGTGATTGGTTGGAGAAAAAGGAGTAAAATAAACGTGATTGGTTAGAGAAAAAGGAGTATAATAAACGTGATAGGTTAGACGATGAAAGCAGTATAATAGACGTGATAGGTTAGACGAGGAAAGCAGTATAATAAACGTGATTGGTTAGATGATAGGTTGATATAATAAATAAATAAATTCAGGGTTTTGAGGATGTGAGGGATGACGGGGGTAGGGTGCCACTGAGTAAATTCCCACACATTTGTGGAAGTATTATGGTTGAAACTAGCTCAAATACGAAATTTTATCATTGAGCCAGTCATTTCACTGTTTTTACAGCAAATTTTGGCCTAATTCTGGATTTCGAAGGGTGATACCATAGAAACCATTTATCTTGGACTGGATGATACTTAACAGAATTATTTAGAATTTTTTTGCTGGTTAAATGTTAAGAAATAAATATTTTCAACTAGTCAACTCGTCATATTCTTTATAAATGTTTAAAAGGTTAGAGGCAAATATGTAAATATGTAAGGTATTGGCAAAAAAAATGGCTGGCTCGTATATGAAAATATTTATAAATGCTCCTGAACTTCTTCTGAAAAAATGTGTCTCACATCTGGGAATTTTTAATCAGGGGCGCCTTAGCAGGAGGAATGGTTGTGCGGGGCCTTATACTTACTGCAGGAAATTTAAGATATTATAAGGCTTACTTTTTTAGGATCTGGTGATGGTTGCCGGAAGTGTGGTCAGGATGGTCACATGGCAAGAGATTGTTCTGTTCCAGATCTATGCAGGTTGTATTTGCACATTTAGATTGTTGAGTACATACCTAAGCACGAATTTTCCCACCCGTACTTCTTGTAAACATATGTCGTCTCCGACTGTGGCCATCCAAAGTACGGTTTAACCCGACCCCTCCCCCTGACACACATATGGTGGGTGATTTCTAGTGGATAAACGCTAGAGTACGGAGACACAATGTATGTTTTAAATACGCCCGTTAAATTGGGAAAATTCGGACTCTGAAGTTAAATTGATTAATACTTAATCTTATTTGAAAGGGAACTGATCAGGTGTAAAATTGGCTTGGCATTGGCATGCTTCTCTTTTCATGAAATGCTGCTCGAAATCGCGTCTAAAGTCTGATGCCATTGTTGTCATTTATAAAGCCATTAGCACATAAAACATCTTTATCGTAGGACACTTTTTTAAGAGATTACTACATATAAGAGTTTATTTTTTAACAGTGCTTTAAGAAAGAAACATCGTGGGGAAATTATATAATTTTCGAGAGGGGGGGGGTCGTTAGAAACTACAGGTGGTTGGGATTTAAATGACTTCTTTACTATCGTCTTTGTTCCTAGCAGGATTATTTCGTAAATATGATTTTGTAGTATCACAGTAAAAACATTTAACATCCAAAAACTACAAGGCTCGGGATTTCCAAAATGTGGTCTACCTTTTTTCAACTTAAAATGGACGTAGAAATCCGAAAATTTGTCTAGATTCCAGTTAATTAAAAATAAACAAAACTGTTTAAATGTTTAATATCTTTTTCAATTTTAAAGATGGGTCATTCTTTGTGAACTCCGCCAGTTTTGGAAATTTAATTATGGAAGTCAATCTATATATAAATTTGGCTCGTCTGTCTGTCTGTGGTCCAATTTTTTTGTGGGACATCACGCGACCACAGGGAAGGTTTATAAATGATAAAAATTGAAAAATAATTTGTTGTAAAGGTTTCCGCCAGTTTTGGAAATTTAATTATGGAAGTCAATCTATATATAAATTTGGCTCGTCTGTCTGTCTGTGGTCCAATTTTTTTGTGGGACATCACGTGATCACAGGGAAGGTTTATAAATGATAAAAATTGAAAAATAATTTGTTGTAAAGGTTTTTAATTTTGTAAAAAAAATTTAATTCTTGAAAATTTGCGATTTTTTTTAAATCCGCAAAAAAAATTTCTTCTTTGTTTTAAAATGTTAACAAAAAGAACATGTTCACAATGTAAAAAGAAGATGGGCGCTTCAGCCTAGCGTCTCAGATTTTCTTTAAATTTTGCATTCACCCAGAAAATCATGAGAACCTTTTATCACCTTTAATCCAAAATTTCAGACTCATGTCACCTCTGGTTGCTTAGTATGGACTCTTTTAAGTTCCCGCCTCGAGGCAATTTAATAACTAACCTCGCGTGCTTTAATTGGCAATAACTTTGTTTATCCAAATATTAAGCTTATATAAACGCAATTTTTGACTAGCTACTTTTGAGATTAAATTAAGATTGTATTTTACTAACTGAATATGATGCTCACAAATTATAATTGAACTTTTTGACCTATTTTTATTTTGAGGCCATCTTCCAATTGATGTATTTATTGATCATGCACATTTTCATTTCTGGCATTCTTGGTGTGAACTAAAATTAAACCACAATTTAAGGAGTGTGGTTAATTGTCTTTTAAAGTACACTAGTATGTTAATTATATTTCTAATTTAGACAATGCGGACAGGAGGGACATTTTCAGTCTGACTGTACAGAAGAGGAGACTACCAGAGCATACACCACACAGGAAGGAGAGGTAAGTTTTTCTTTTATGTACACAGACGTAAGCTCTTGAGCCAAAATCGTTAAGAATTTTGATTCAACTTATTCAAAACTACCGCTAAAGCCCAAGTGCTGCGAAGTTGTAATAAATATATACATTTATAGACCACAAGTAAAAAAAGTGAGTTGGAGAGGTTAAAGCAAAAGTTCAGGCATTGTGACACTTCAAAGTTTACCCATTCTTTTAACTGTAGGTTTATGTGTAACCCGTTAAAATCGCTCGTGTTTACGTTGTGGCTTTGGGGTAATAAAAATGAATCAGATACATCTCCTGGTTAATCAAATATTTTTGTATCCAAAAACACAAATCCAGTGTGATCTTGTCCCTAAGTACTGATGTGTAGTAAGGTTAAAATCTTATTCTACTAATGTTTCAACAGAACGAATCTCATCGTTAAATATAAATTATTGCACTGAATTCTCAAACTTCTAGAAGTAATCCTGTCGACATATGGTTGGGAAAATTGTGTTAACTGGCAAACTCATTTGTTTCATGAATTAAAACCTGTACTGTTGACATNCCCCCCATGATTGGATTTATTCTGGTGATTTTCCCGTGTCCTAAGTTCAACTCAAAGCTTCATGTTATAAGTTTTTCTCCTCAGGAATGCTGGCTGAAGTTGTCCAAGAATCGGATATGTTGTATTTGTACCTACGATTATTAATTTTTAACTATTCAGGTTCGTGAGATCTATGTACCTACCAAGGAAAGCTTGTTTTTTATTTATTATTTAAGTCATATTGGACGAAATACTTTGAAATAAACTTCTTATCTTAAAACTTTATTAAACTTCCCAGTCTCAACATTTAAGCAGTGCTTAGGATCCGCAAAAACATGCGGATCCAAGGGGCAAAAAAATCAACTGAGCTGAAAACGAAAATCTTTTCCTATCAATTCCCAAATCTGAACTGTTAAATAAACGAGATTACTTAAAAAATTTCCTAATCGCTAAATTTTTCATGAAGTTTTAGCAAACAAAAAATAACTCGAGTAAAGAAAAAATAACTTTAAAATTCTTATGCTGTTGAAAAAATCTGTAAATCTTTAATAAATGTTATAGACCTAGATCCCGATCCATTTATTTTCAGTGTGAATCAAGGATCCAGATCTGCATCATAATTAAAGAAATCATAAGCACTGCATTTAAGTACTAATTAATGGTAATTTTCCTTATTTCCTGTTAATATTTGCAAGCTGGTGGAGTAGGTAACTGATGAAGAACTCTTCAATGAGGAGTCGACCATTTCCTCTGGGATCAACTTCGCAAAGTACAACTCCATGAAGATTGACGTCACAGGAGAGAATATTCCTCCTGAAATATCTAGCTTCGACTGTGGTCTCAGACCCCTTGTTCTTGATAATGTGAAGAGGAACAAGTATAAAGTAAGTACATATATTTGTCGGAAAGTTCATCCTAACTTAGCCAACGAATTTTAAATATTAAGCCTTAATTCATGATTTCTAGAGCCCTACTCCGGTCCAGAAGGCTGCCATGCCCATAATTCTGGCAAAGCGTGACCTCATGGCATGCGCGCAGACGGGATCTGGGAAGACCGCGGCATTCCTTCTCCCAATCATCAGCAACCTGATGGAGGAGAATGCATCATCCAACCCTGGAGCCTTTGAAGTCGCTCCTCAATGCGTTGTGATGACTCCTACAAGGGAGCTCGCCATACAGGTGACTATGTAACATTAACCAGGGCAAGAAAACTCATAAAACAATTATTCACCAAGTTCTTCTATTTAAATAAAGTTTTTTAACTTTAATTTATTTTAATTTAAAACAACATTTTTAGATATTTAAATGATACCGGATGAAAATATCTTGTGATTCTAAATTTCTTGTTCTTCATTTTCTTCTTGTTTCTGTCAATTATTCATTTTTAAAAAGACTATTTTTAAAATATTTAAATAAAGTTTTTTAACTTTAATTTATTTTAATTTAAAACAACATTTTTAGATATATAAATGATACCGGATGAAAATATCTTGTGATTCTATATTTCTTGTTCTTCATTTTCTTCTTGTTTCTGTCAATTATTCATTTTTAAAAAGACTATTTTTAAAAAACGAACTTTTTTAAAAACGATGTTTTTCATTTATTCGTCGTCGTTTTCATAACAAACGATCGTATTTTAAAAAATTTAAAACATTAGCATCCCTAATTACACAATACACACCCTTAAAATGATCGTTTTTTAAAAAATTAATACGTTATCATCCCTAATTTGCAAATTTGCACTTCAACATTTTTTTCCGAAATAATTATAAGCCGCCAAGTTAAAACTTATTATACTATGGGCTAAAGCACAAATGCAGCTGACCTAAGTAGAATTGAGAGTTGGACAATTCAACCATTAGTCCAATTGACATAGCAACAGATATTTAGCTCTCATGGTGTTGGTAAATTAAATACCTGAACCAAGTATTGATAAAACCAAATATAGCCCCTTCCCCAAATATAAAAAGAGAAAACAAAATGCCTTTTATTTCTTGTTTTTCACTTTAATGAATCTGCATGTAACTGTTACAATTTTTTCATATGATTCAAGTACATTTTAATTTGTTGACAATTTGTGTATGATTGTACATTTTGTAAACATATTTGCTACGAAATTATATATTTCTGAGTTATAACAAAAATGTAATACATTTTTAAGAAGTTAGTCTTAAATGTCGTTTTTAAACTTTTTACATTTTTCAACAGTAGGAACTATATCTATATACGACAGAAACGCATTGTGTTCCGTTCTCTTCTCAACTGTTAAAAGTTGTTTTTGTTTAAGTACTTAAATATTTAAAGTAGTATAATCTCTGTTTGTATTTTTGATTATAACTTGGGAATCTCTTAAACGATTTACTTAAAATTTTTATTTGTAGAACCATGCACGGAAATGTTCTTGTCTAGATTAAAAAAAAGTTATTAGTTGAAAAGGTTTACTCTTCCTAAGAAAACATTGTTTAAAGGCAAAGCTGGTTTCCCAAGTTTGTCATAAATAAAGACTTATCCTGTAGAACTCCTTAATTACATGTACAGAATAAAGTTGCCAACCCCGTCAAATTGCCTTTCAAACTTTTTAAATTTTCTTTTATACTTATAACTTGTTTGCTTGTTAGTTTTTTTTTTATTATCATTGAGCATATTGATTTGGCCATCAATAGAAGCACCTTACCTCGTTAAACAGAACTACAAAATTAAAATATTGTAAATTGATCAAGAAACGGGTAATTAGCGTTTTTTTTTTTTGATACATAAGTGTTAAATAAATGCTAGACAACCCTATGTAAATTTGATCTGGGAACTAATAAATTGAAATCTAGTAAATGAGTCAATGAGACTTAGGTAATAAACTTGTTTATTTTAAGATATGTGATCAAGCACGAAAGTTCTCGATGGGTTCCTCTGTTGTATGTAAAGTTGCATACGGAGGTAAGCGCCTGAAGTGGCCCAAACCTATTCCTACAGTCAGTTCCANATAATCTAAAAGATTTTTTGTTTAATGCGAGGGGACAATCCAATGTTAATATATTAAGCCATTCTTCATAGTCATTCAGTTGGTAAAAATATAATAAGAAAAAAAGATTAAATATGAAATTTTTGTTTGTTCCTATTTTTATTCTGTAAAAGAAATTATCCGTTTTTTTGAAAACCCGAGTTCTTATTCCTAACCATGGATTCCAGCAAAACATTCGATAACTAAAATGATGAATTCGTTAGGTCTCCTGAAAAATTTTTTACCTTGAGAAATATTATAGGAACCAGTATTGGGAACAATCTACGGGAGCTGCAGAGAGGGTGTAATATCCTAGTTGCTACTCCGGGCAGGTACAATTTACAAAGTAATTTTATCTCCAGATAAGGTTTCAAAAGTCTAGTGCTTTTGAACCGAATTTCTGGATTCTTCTACGCTTCCTAAACCCGGTCCCGGTTTTCTTCATAAATCCTTAAACTAAAATTGTTGATATACCTTTCAGTGAAAAAATGTATTCTTTAGACAATAAAATGGAGAAATAATTTTGAGCTAGTTCAGAATGAACACCTGAAATTAACTGTAATACATCCGCGCAATTGAATTAATGAATCTTGTGTGTATTCAACCAATCTTTTGATATATTTATTCAGACTACTGGACTTAGTCAACAGAAGTAACGTAGTATTCTCTAACATCCAGTTCTATGTGCTGGACGAAGCTGATCGTATGTTAGACATGGGTTTCGGTCCAGACATTAACAAGTGCATGATCCACCCGACCATGCCGACCAAAGAAAACAGGAACACCTTGATGTTCTCAGCTACCTTCCCCGAGGATGTGCGAACAAACGCTAGAAAGTATTTACGCGAGGTAAGATTAGGTCACAGTTTTACTAGTCAATAACGTCTTAATTTCTGAATGCTGTACAAGAATTACAAACAACATAATTACGATTTTGAAAACACATGCAGTGTACTCAAACTCGACAAAAAAAAACAAGGAACTGGTAAAATTATTTGCTCACAAAAGGTTGTTTAAATGTCGTCGGAACTCAAATTTTTTATGGGTCTCGCTGTTAAATAAATATTAAATAGCAAGCACAAAATGGGAAGGTATAAAGTCGGCAGCGCGAGGAGAGGAAGGCCAACCACAACAATTTTTCGTCCGAGCCACATTCTCCTCATTTTAAACCGAGCCACCGCGAAATCCTCGTCCTTTCAATACAATGTTTTTTAAGTGTCTAATTCTCCCAGATAAAACTGTTTTTTAAGAATCGAGTCACGTTAGGGAATAAATGAAGTATTAACTGTTTGATCATAAATTTGAAACTTTTAAACTCAAAATAATCGAATGACGAGGGTTCCCAGGTGGCTTGGACGAGAAAATGAGAATATGGCTAGGACGAGAAATTGGTGGGGCTGGTCTTCCTCCCCTCGCAGTACACGTAGAAAATTCAATAATGCAAATAAGTGCTTTTATGATTGAGGTTTCATTAACTGACTACTGGGAACGTCGAAACTTAATATACCAAATTTTCCGTAAAATGATTTTTAGGGATAAAATGTGAAAATTTAATTTCCCGTTTGTGGCGTTATGACTTATGTTATCTAATCATGATTTTAAGAAAATTTATGATTTTACGACCATATTTAAATCCTTTGGTATTTCCACTGATAAATAATCATCTAGGATAAGATATTCCTGTCAGTTGGCATTGTTGGAGCTGCATGTGCGGATGTACGTCAGATTTTTTATCAGGTTCGTCATTTTATCTAACCCGTCTGAACTGCTTCCATGCCGCGGAAGAGTTTTTCCTGAAATTTATCTATGGGGGGGAGGGGGTCTTAAATGGCAAATGCAATTTTTGGTATTAGGTATCAAATAGAGGTCTGTAAGTTCTACATAGTTTTGTATTTTACCCGATAACTAGCTCCCCTCCCCCTTTTCCCGTGCACTGGGGTTTTATCTTGGTATGAATTTTTCCTGCAATGTTGATGTCTCCCTTGCTAAATTATTTCAAGAAAGCTAACTGGAATATATTGTTCATGTATCACTGATATATGTGTTGACCATATGATAAATGTTAGGTTGAAAAGAAAGATAAGAGGCGTAGACTTCTGGAGCTGTTGAATGACCCGGAGAGGAATCCATCTGAGAGGATGCTGATCTTCGTCAACCAGAAGAAGCAGGCCGACTTTTTGGTAAGTAATTTAATCACGATTAGGTCTTGACGATAGGGGAAGAGAAATAAGTTCCTCTGAAAAATAACTTTTTCATCGATCAAGTTTTGATAAGGACTACTCGACAATTTAACTCTTGTTTTCCTTGAATTATGACAAGAGGCCGACATTTTTATTACGCTGAAGTCAATGCGGTGAAAATCTTATTTTTATATTTTATAAAGCATAAGTGTGTTTGATCCCATATTATTGCAAGTTTTTGTTTAGATGAGTGTTATCACTTTGGTGGGAAAGATTCCAGCAACCAGCATTCACGGTAGGTCTTAGAATCTTTCTAGATCAAAGCAAAGGAATTTCGTCATTGCTACAACCTAAAATTTACTAATACCATCAACTTGTTTAAACTTTAATCTGACAGAATTTATAGCTTATACATACCTAATGTCTACGAGATGTTGGGTTGAAAAGAATATTATTATTAGTTTGGCAAAGACTCGATTCCGGAGCCATGTCATAAACTTTCTTTTTAACGATTATTGACTTTGTTTCGTAAAAAGATTTTTTTTTGGCCTATCTTCAAGTTTAAACTTAAACCATGCACATTTTTTATATGTCTCGACTAGGTCAGATTTGGGTTTTGAGAGCAAACAGAATTTTACAGGTTTTGGTTGATATTTGTGATCCGCATTATTTTCCAGATCAGAAGCCAATCCTAATGACTGGTTGGAAAACTGGAATTAAATTCTTAAATTTTTAGAAAAGTAAACTCAAGATTTGGTGTAATGTGGATTATAGTATTTTTATTTTGAATGTGTCGCATAGTTTCATCCTTACTTTGAGTTTAACCCCTGTAGGTCGTCTTTTTCTCCTTTCATACTAATTAAAACTTGTCAAATGACCATTTATCTTGACATTCGGCACTTATTGAACCAAGTTTCACTTATTAACGTTAAATCAAATCAAATCACAAGGGGCGGGGATGACAATGAGCTCCAGTAGTGGATTGGAGGTTCAAGTCCTTTCCGTGTAAAAGTAAAAAGTAAAAGTTTCGAAGAATCTTTCCAGAATTTATCGAAAAAATTTCTTTCTTTGCGGAAGTAAATGAAAGGTATCGTTAAGCGCCCCTCCATGTATAAAAATATTGGCATACCCGATTCACAAAGGTACCAATTTAATATGTGCATTAATGGAGCAGAAATGGTCTTTTTTTTCTGAAGTGTTTCTTTTTCCATTAACTACGCTCCTGTCTCGTTGTGGAAAACAAATTAGTCTGATTTAACGAGAATCGACTAATTAAAAGCATCAATATTTAAATAGAAAAAAAATATTTTTATAATTTTGCTCCGACAATATGTATAACTGTGAATCGGGCATGCTCCTCATAAATTGAATTTCACTTGAAGTGCGACGACTGTCTGAACAGATATATATCGTTTCTTATCGTTAAATTTAAGCCTAAATTCTGTCTGAACAGATATATATTGTATCCTATCATCAAATTTAAGCTTAAATTCTGTCCAGACAGATATTTATTGTATCTTATCATCAAATTTAAGCTTAAATTCTGTCCAGACAGATATATTTAGTTTCCTATCATCAAATTTAGGCCTAAATTCTGTCTGGACAGATATATATTGTATCCTAACATCAAATATAAGCTTAAATTCTGCCTGGACAGATATATATCGTTTCCTATCGTCAAATTTAAGCCTAAATTATGATCCAGGCGATCGGCTGCAGCGTGAACGAGAGCAGGCTTTGCGAGACTTCAAGCGAGGAGATCGTCCTATCCTAGTTGCTACAGCTGTAGCTTCTCGTGGTCTTGATATTCCCAACGTTGGACATGTTGTTAACTATGATATGCCAACGGATGTCGATGAGTATGTGCACAGGTAAAGAATAAAGGTTAAGCAAAAAGCATAAAGGGATTCAGCCGTAAACTTAAGTATTTTTTTATCCCACTGTCCCCCTTTGACATATTTCGTTTCCACTCCCCCTTCATTTATTTACAGTTAAACTCTAAATATTAAATACATAGAAAGAATTTATCAAATGTCGTATTCTTCACTTTCTGATAATGGAATGTTGCAGATATTTAGTTGTTTAATTAAATGAGTATATGGAGCTCTATAAAACTGTTCCCGCATATTCATGGCAAGTTTATTTATATTCAGAAATACTGAAATTTACATAAAATGGCCCATTGAAAAATTGCCAAGACGACATTTCATAAATTCTTTCGATGTATTTAAAATTTAGGGTTCAACTATTAGTAAGTTCCATTTTCATCTTTAGCCATTCCAATTTTTATTTTATTGTATATAGGGTTGGGCGCACCGGGCGTGTTGGCAACATCGGATTTGCTACTAGGTGAGATTTGTTTATAATTTCCTTTAAAATATCAACTAAGGGTTTACATTTTCCTAAATCAATTTCCCCAAGAATTAGGAAGACTTGAAAATATTTTGGTAATATATTGAATCCGCCATGAAAAAGGTGAAAATTTCTTAAAGATTAAAGGGACTGTAAAGGAAAAATGAAAGGGGGTATAGGCTGAAAGCTACTCACTTACGCTCTTGATCGCGACCCATGAGAGTTTTATCTGATGTTCCTGTCTCGAGAAATTGATATAAAACTGTGTTGAAATTTTACTGAAGTTCATATATGTAAAATTTAGACAATTTTGCACTTATATCACGTGACCAGAACTATTACCAAAAGCAGAGCAGTATACTGGTCACGTGTCTCCGCCTGTATCACGTGACCACTTTACTGCACTGCCATTGGTGGAATTTCTGGTCAAGCAATACGGACGTATAAATAATATTATGAATTAAATCTAAAAAATAGAAATAACAAATATAAAACTAAAATTGGAGTAAACCTAAGTTACAATTAGCTTTCTCTGGGATTAATTAATACCTGTTGTTATAAAAATTCATTATTTTCAATTGTGGTTTCCCTACAATCACTTTGTGACCCACCCATTTGTATTGCAGGAGAACAAAGGAATTGTCAGAAACCTATACCTTCCATATTATTGATAAGATAAAGGTTTTAAGTGTACTTCTGTGAATCGGGCAGTTCCATCATTGGATGGGGGTCACTTAAAATAAAGCTTTCAGTCCCTTTCATCGATTTTGCTATTTGGTAAGTGTATCATGTTGGTCCTATTTAGTGGTTTGAAATTAGATTATTTTTTGTAGTTTCTTCGACCCGCAACAAGACTCCGGCATAATGGTTCCTCTATGTTCTATTCTCAAACAGTCTGGTGTAGAACTTCCGCCTTTTCTTACTCGGGGCGGATACGGAGACTATGGGGCAGCTGGAGCCGATGAGGAGTGGTGATCACTCAATGATCTAAAGGAAGACGTCGAGTTTTTTGTTTAAACGCCTTCCTTTCCTCTCGTAATCAAGTATTGTCATGTAACTTATTTTAATCAGTTATTTAGTTAACTGCTAAGTTGCATTTGAAACTAGTATGTTATGTTCCAGATCTGACGCGTTATACTTGCGTTCAAAATTGCGATGTTTTTGGAGTGTTCAGGAACTAGTCAACTAAGTCTACAGAGCTGAAAACTTTAAAATGGTGGATATCGAGATCAATGCATGATCTCCTTTCTTAATCTCCAGATTAGTTAACCCGTCTGGATTAAGGATATCCCATTCTAAAGTTTTCAGCTCAGACCTGATAATCTAGAAGATCTGTTGACAGGAATACTAGTTCCTGAGCAGTTTAAAAGAGTCGCAAGCAACAGCTCTAATCCCCCCTCTATCAGATATAAATTGTGAAAATTGTGATTTTGTAAATATTGTATGATAGTAATAAAGAACTGTTAAAGCAGAGAATTTTTTTTATCTTTAGACAAAGTAGCCTTGTAACTGAAATGGGAGTCAAAAGGTGGAAACGACACTATAAATCCTAAATTAGAAATTAAAGATTGATGATGATTTACTATGGTGCCTAGCGTAACATGACTATAGCAAGAACTAAGGGCGGGTCTAGGAAGGGAAAATGTTTTATTCCAAGTTTGAGCCACGTCATGTTGCTTATAATGGTTAAAGATATTTTATTTCATTTTTTTTGTATATCCTCTGAAGGTACAGTGAGGGAAGGAATGCAGAGCACCATGAGCTCCGGAGTTCCTGATTCGCAACAAGTGGCACAATGAGCACATTATGCTTTTATGAAATTTTTACAAGATTAAAATAATCTAAAATTTGACATTAATAATCTGAATCTGAAAACTGCCCCAAATAAGATATCGCAATCAAAGATCAAAATAAAATAAACCCAAGTTTAATTAGTTAAGATGCATCTTATAATCCATTTTGAGTCAATATAAGTTAAAAATCATGATTAGGGAGGGAACTCTCGGACGCCATGAGCCTCCGCTATGCAGACACAAACCTCCCAGATTTGCTAGGCAGACCGAGCCTTAGCTATGCAATAATGGCATGAACAATGCATCAAAATGTGCCTGTATACAGGAGGTTTCTTTAAACATGGGTTTAACTTTTAAGTTCAAAAATATTTGTCAACACGTTTTTCGACTTAGTGGCACGAGAGATTTCTTAAAAGTTCAGAAGTATGTATCTATTATCATAAAAAGTGCCTAATTATTACTAATAAGGTGGCTGTAAAACTTGAAACATTTTTAAACACGAAAAGGATAATAATAGAGAAAAATATTTGAATTGAATTTCAATTCAGATTTTATTTTATTTAATTTAAGCGACAACTTTTTGTAATTCAAATTAAATCTGGAAAATTTATAATTTATTTAAGCCTTAACATTTTCCAAAAAGGTATTGTTTAAATCAAGGATTACAACAACAAAAGCTAAGTTTACTCCAGAGGCCATTCCTTCCATAAACTATATCGTTTGACAACTTGATGTCCCCTCATGGACGTCAAATGTACGGCGAAATTGTTTATTTAACAGATAAGAAAACTGGCTCAGACATATTTTTTCTCCAAATACCTTCCTTTCTGAGTAAGATATGTTTAAAAGTGTAAGTATAAATCTTACAAACCACTTTACGAAAACATAAATATTTCTAATCATGACAATCAATAATTATCTTTTCATTTTTCATTACACATAAAAACCAAGATTTAAAAAGAAAAACTGTCCTGTATGGTGGAGGCACGTTACTGCATAGCGGAGGCTTGGTCTACCCAGCAAATCTGAGAGGCTCGTGTCAGCATAGCAGGGGCTCAGGGCGTCCAGTGATTCCCTACCTCTCATGAAAGTTAGTGAACAGGCATGGTTCCTAGCTTGGCGGAGGGGGGGATAGATAAAACTCCTAAGAATGCGCGAATACCGGATAATATTTCTTATATTCTCTCTCTCTATGACAGCTAGCNCTACTCCCCTTCCTCCATGCACCCCCTCCTTCGAACTACAAGTCGTATTATTTTACGGTTTTATCTAAATATATAAAGTTGTATTTTCCGTTTGTGGCCGTTATGCCCAATCATAACCCTTTACCGATTTGCCTCAAACTTTGATTGGGGAACTTGGGAGCGGAAATGTTTTATAGCTTGAATTAAAAGTTCTAAGTAGAGTGGATCGACTTTAATAGCAAATCTTCCCGTTGTAAAATCGTTCAAGTGCAGGTAAATGGCGTGAGTAATTATTAGTAACCCAGGGTAACGCTGGTTCCCATTGCCGTATAATGTCCGTCGATCATAACTCATGAATCCTTGGACCGATTTGTCTCAAATTTGATCTCGATGGAGAACCGCGAAAATGTTCTTTAGCAATTAGTTTCTAAGTTGAGTGGGTTCACTTTTAAATTGAAATTTTTTTTGACCACGCGCGGCCGGGTAATCAGTGGGAGTTGAGTAACTATGAGTACCCTGGGCTTTGCAACGCGACGCTGGGTTCTTATGCTAGTATCCATAATCTTATCAATCCTGTAGATTAAAAGAGAGAGGGGTGGCGGTCAGTGGTGTACGTGGGGGGGGGCCGCGCCCCCCCGCCCCCCTCTACGCGTGCCCCCCGAGAGGCTGAGGGGGGCACCCATGGGGGAGGCTCTTTTAATATTACACATGCTTGCATTTCTCAGGCCAGACACAATGGCGTACCTAGGGGGGGGGGGGGC